AGCAGAAGCTTCCCTCAGTGAACATCAGAGGACGGTGTTAGCTTTCTGCTCTCCACTGGCTAGAAGACTTAGTCTTCTTGGAAGGATCCACATCCTCCAGTATATGGTCATTGGTTAAGAGAAGTTATGTCTTACATTCATTTAGAGAAGATTAGATATACTGTTAAGGGATCTGTAAACAAATTATTTGATATCTGGCAGCCATTTGTATCTTATGTAGAAAAAATTTCGGCAGATAATTTTGTGTAAAGGTTAAATATTATTTCATTACACACAAACCTGCTCATTGTATCATTTGATGAATACAAGATCATTTTTTGTTATTTCAGTGGATCCGGTATAGGAGGGGAGGGATGGGAGGGATTTTGGGTGTGTGTGTTTTGTTTTGTGTTTTTGTAAGTATGTTCCTTTTTTTGGTTTGTAAAAAAATATAAATTTTATAAAAAGACCTTGATCAAAAAAAGACATCATCATCATAATCATCATCATTGTAATTAAGAAAAAAAGAAAAAACACACAAAAAGAATATTGTTCCAATGTTTATTACTTACTTACTTATTTGACAGTAAGGTGATTGTGTTTTTCTGTTTTATTTTTCTTTAAATTGATCACTACGATTTAGTTCACTATGTTTTATTATGAAGTATGTATGGGTATTTGTGCTTGAACCATAGACAAATATCTTATGGTTAATTTTATTTTAAATAATTCACTTCTATTTCATTAAAAACTAATTCTTGTCATTTAGTATTAATCTTGCTCAAGGACTGAACACAACATGGTCCGAACTTGTTTTTCTGTTCATGTGCAAATGTTTTAACAGACTTATGGCAGTGCCCTAGACAAAACTTATTACAGCCGAGCAGGCAAGGGAGGGGGTCAAAAGTGAAAGTAAAGACAGAGCGCTCCCGTTCGAAAGTGAAACTTAAACATACAGCTTTTCTCTCCTTATATTCCGACAAAGAGGGCAGAAGCAGCTAAATTAGACAGTTAAAATACATTAAAAGTTCATAACTCACCCTTATTGTTCTTGGCACTCTGTCTTACAACATTACCAGCCGCTCTCTCCCAGGGAGGGGGCGGCAACATGTGCTCACGTGACCCTAAGAATGGAACAGACGAACTTATCGGCTGATACTGATACAAGGAAAAAACGCAAATATCGGCCAAAAATATCGGCAGCCGATGTATCGGTTGAGCCCTACTACATCATCTTGGCAAAATCCACCGACATCTGTCCATCCTGAATTTTTGCCTTTACATCACATCTGCCCATCACATTTTCCCTGTTTCCATCACAAACATGGACATCCAACCTGTGGAAGATAATTACTGAAAACATTCCACATCAGACCCTCTACTTATAACTTCAGGCACATCCTTCTGTTTGACACTCTTTTTTTCTCTACTACATTCCTTGCAAAGTCCTCCTTCAGGATCACCACTCCTCAATTTCTCTTCCTATCCACACCATGGTAAAACAGCTTAAGCTCTGGCCAAATTCACAAATTCACTTAGTTTCTTGCACTCATATTACATGTACCTCCATTCTCTGCATCATGTAAGCAGCTCCCTACCTTTGCCTATTATTGTTTGTACATTAAGTGTTGCTACCCTCAGTCCTACACACTTGACTTTCCTCTTCTCCCTCTGTATACTGGCATGTTTCCTTGGTCTCACACTAACAGTAGCACAATCCTGAATGTAGAATTAGCCTACACATTCTCACTCCCAACTCGTCACATATTGACGTTTAAGGTAAGGTTCCCTCT